AATCACTTTGGAATCACTTCAAACCCTTGTGGTATATGTTTAGGAGGGTTAGGAGAAGCTTGGTGACGAACTTTAATTGAAAAATCAGCAAAAATAGGCGTCCAAATCGTTTATAAATTGAAGTAGGTCAACCACCGCCTAAGTGGGTCCCATTGGGAGCTGCTTGCGCGGTCTCGCAAAAACATGAATATCTCTCTACTCTGGTCGTATTGACGAATGGTTTAATGCGTTAGAAACTAGACTCGTAGATCTTCAATTTGGTAGGTAGAACACCCCATGATTCCAAGTATATTTGGAGAAATTCTCAGATACATTTGACCTAAAAATCAGCAAATTTATGAATGTAACTTGTGATGACCTTTGCCAACTCTTGTTCCACAACTTGCTTGCCTTCAAAATGTAGAAAATGAATATCATACGACTAAAATAACTCATAGAATAACCTCCTTATCATATTAAGAACCCTAGTTTCACCCCAAAGTACATGTTATAACATTCGAAACTTGTCGACTTTCGACGAAACTTATTTTCTTCAATTGGTTTAGCTTCTAAGATTTCCAACCCTCTTGGTACTCGTTATTCATGATCTTAAATATTTGTAACCTCCAAGGTAACATGATTAACTTACTTTATTTGCTTCCAAATATAATCTCATTTTCAAGCTTATATCAATGACTTACGACGTACTCTCACGTATGAAAATTTGGGGAATAACATATTGACTCTCGTTTCACTCGTATCGTTGAGTCAATTTTACTTTTCTGTGTTCCTTCTTTCTTTTCTTCTCTTTTTCTAAATTTCTTTTATCTTCATTTTTATATTTTCTCTATATATACAATACCCTTTTATTAGCTTTTTATATTATAAAAGTGTATTTGTTTATGTTTTCTTGTTCAAGAGATCTCAATTGTTCTTTAATTTGAATATGGTTTTACTATTCATGACACTTTTATTATAAGACATCTTATGAAGTTATAATAGAAACCATACTCGAGAAGTATATTCTTCGCATTATTGTTGTTGAAATAGCCTGATGATCATTGCAGCCAATTCAGACCTAACTTAATCAACTCGTTGAAACAGCATTGGGTATCCACAATTGCTAACTTATTCATAAGATTAAATTTCTTTTGGAATTTATATATCAGACGACATACAATGCAAGGATAAATATTTTTACAACATCAGGTTAACTAAAAGAAATCTACAATTAAGCTAATGTGAGATTTATAATCTTGAAAATATGATAAATTATCTTGTACTACAGGTGAAAATAACATGTGTAAGTCCAATTCTCGCCTTCTTTATCGTCATTTCCCCAAATCGCCCAATAAAAAAAAAATTTAAAAAAAGGATAGAGCAAAATGATCAAGAAATGTTACTAATGACATTCTCAATTAGAAGCCCAAGAGATGCATAGGATGAACCACCCTCCTTCATTGTTGCACTGCTCTTCTCTTTCATCTCCTTTGCTTTTTTCCTTATTCCATTATGGTCGCCATCTGCCATCAGCTGACGTATGCCACTTTCAATTTCCTCAGCAGTTACAATGTCAACAGGATTTTTCCCTTGAAAATCCTTAACATAGTCCATCCGAATCTCCACTGCCAATTCCAATTCTTTAACCAGCGCGAATGCATTCATCTGCTGTTCGGCATGATGAGGCCAAGTGGCCATAGGGACCCCAAAGCAGAAGCTTTCCAGTATAGAATTCCATCCACAATGAGACACAAATCCGCCCACCGCTGGATGAGATAGCACCGTTACTTGAGGTGCCCATCCTATCACTTTGCCAACTCCATTTGTCCTTTCAATAAACCCTTCCGGTAGCACTTCCTCAAAATTCTCATAATTACTCGGTAGCTCCATTTTTCCCTTAGGTGGAGGTTTTCGTAACGACCATAAGAACCTGTGACCGCTACATTCTAATGCAATCGCAATTTCTTTGACCTGTTCAGGTTCAAAGCTTCCCATACTTCCAAAGCACAAAAACACTACAGAGGACTCTGGCTTGTCATCCAACCATTTGATAATGCTTTCTGTTTCAGATTGGCTGTTTCGACCGTGACCACCTTCCTTAATATTCACCACAGGACCAACTGGGTAAATTTTCGGAACTTTCTTCGAACCTGAAAGAAACTGAAGAGCAAAAGGTTCTAGCTCGGCGAAGGTGTTGACCATAATGCCTTTCGTTTCTTTATAACGAGTCACGAAATCGAAGAACATGGTTATTACGGCTGATTGATCAGTCGTTACCCTAGGCAAGAGTTTTGCAGGATACGGTTTTTTAAATCCAGGGATTGCCAATTCCTCATTTGAGTCCATGTACTTGGAGGTGTCTATATTGTGCTCCTTTTTAAGGGACTCAAAATGAAGGCAGAGAGCAAGGAAAGAAGCACTAGATGTAAAGAAAATGTAACTCGGAACACTAAATTCATTGGCCACGTCTATCATGGGAATGCAGAACATGTCAAGAACGAAGCCTGCGAGCCGAGAATTAGAGGTCATGTTATGAACAAAGTCAATTACTTTTGGTTTGTGACCTCGAATGAAATCTAAGAAGAAAGTCTCCTTATTTGATATTAATTCAGCAGCAGTTTTCTCGTCTGCGGTAATGTCTACGAACTGTAAGCGGGCTGTAGAAGAGAGGGACTCGACGTAGGATTGAGTGCCCAAATCCATGGGAAGCTTCATGATAAGGACAGAGATGCAGAGCCTCTCATCTCTGTCAAGAATGAGCTTTGCGATTTCGACGGCGGAGATGAGGTGGCCAGCTCCCGGCGCAGGAATGAAAACCAGCTCTGCTTTCGTTGTCATTGAGGTTTCTCTATCTTTTGCTGGAGTAGTAATTTGGTGCTGGTGTTTGTGGTATGAGATAAGGTTTCTGTGTTTTCCAGTGGACAGGACAGAGTACATGAAATTTACAAATTTGCTACTATTATTATTAAGTAGAAAGGCTATTGAGATTGAGAAAGACGCTTTGTCATTGCATTTTTAAAAGTTAATACACTTGGTATCGTTCATCACCCATCCTTCCCATGTGGGTGTGGGAGGCATATGTCATACCAATCAATAGTTCAAGTCACGTACTCCTATAATCCATTTTCTCTTCGTAAAATTCCCTTCAATCCCCCTTAAAGGAAAATGATTTAAGTTATATACATATTGTAATTTTTACATTATGGTCACAAAAGGATATATTTACAAGTAAACCTCCTTCAAATATCGGCTTTGTAAAATAACAGTAAATTACCAACTACAACAGGTAAAAATGAGTTAATGCCGTAAAAATTGCTTATAAGTGCTAAACAATCACAGGTATTATCACTTTTAACCCGTGCTAGAAATTATTTACGTTTGGTAACCAAAAAAGTGTATAAAATTTGTATTATTTTTGTATATCTCACACATAGCGTATATATATATACAAAAATATTTTCTTTTTGACTATTATTTTGAAAGCAGTTATACAGTATTGTTTTTCCAACAATCAAGTAGTAACTAGTGTTTTAAAAGATGATTTCTCGACGAGCTTAGGGTGAGGCATGCCAAAAACCCACGGAGGCTTACTGGCGAGGCATAAGTATCATGGAGCGTAAGCCTCAATCTTTTGGGCATTTGCCTAGGCGTAAATACCAATATTCTGGGCGTTCATTTGGGAACTTTTCAAAATTTGAGCCAAAACTGATTATAAATCCTTTTTTTAAAATTTAAATATCCAAAATTTAACTCATAGTAAATTCTCAAATTAAAAATCTCAAAAGTCAAAAGTTTTTTTCTAATTGCTTATTCTAACATAATCTTTTTCCGTTGTTATTTACTGGGTAACAAATGCACTTTTTTTTTTCATTCTTATTCTTTTCAAATTAGTTTGTAGACTATGTTCTGGCTTTTGTATTATAATAAGTATCGATAAGTTGTTTTCTAGTTTTTAGGCTCTTAAACAATTAACTTTATATTATTATTATTATTATTTTCTTTGAATTATTTGAAACTAGAATAACATTTTCACTACTCTAAGTATGTTCTATCACAGTCATGTTATTGTAATGCATCTTTACATCTTTTGCTTTTTCAATTAAAAGAATATTTGTTTGTATGTTTCGTGCACATGTTAGCATATTTGTATATATACATTTTTTTTACTAATTTTATAAAAAAATTTAAAAAATTACAATTTTAATGTATTTTTATTTATATATTTATTGTATTAATTTATAAAATATTAAAATGAAATAACCACAGCGCGTATGCCTCTTGCCTAAGGGCTTATGCCTCGACGTGTTAGATAAAGCACCTTGTCTCACGCCCCCACCTAAAACACTGGTAATAACCTGACTAGTAATAGTAATGTTACCCAATAGTTCAAAAGTTAAGGGAGGTTTCTGTAATTTTAAAAACAATAGGGATTTTATATAATTATCCCAAATACAAATTCAAGTGAACAACATGATCCCACGTATTTCCTTTTATTCCTCACAACTTAATAAAAAGATTCAGAATTCTCCGACTCTGCCTAATACGCTGATAACAGAGCTATGGACACAAAAAAACCAGAGCTGGTTTTCATTCCATCGCCTGGATTGGGTCACGTAGCTTCCGCTGTTGAAATTTCCAAACTGATTCTTGATACAGATGAACGTCTTTCCATTTCTCTCCTTATAATGAAACATCCTGCCGATTTCGGCGTTCAACCTTATCTTCAATCACTCTCTGCTCATTCCCGTTTGCACTTTGTAGATGTTTCAATTGACTCAAAAACAGCTGCTGAACTCTTGTCTAACAAGGACAGATTCTTATATGATTTCGTCGACGGTCATAAATCAAAGGTAAGAGAATATGTTCGTAACAACATTGCTAGTAATAGCTGTTGTGGGTTCGTTCTTGATATGTTCTGCATTTCCATGATTGATGTAGCCAATGAATTTGGTGTTCCAAGTTATATTTTCTTTACTTCGGCTACAGCTTTTCTTGCATTATCCCTTCATTTTGAAGCTCTAAGGAGTAATGCTAACGAAGACGAAATTTCCAAGTATGACTACTCTGAATCTAATGAGGAATTGTCGATTCTTGGATTTAAAAATCTGTATCCTGCTAAAATCTTACCTAGACCAGCTAAATCTGTTACACCTAGCTCGATTTTGTACTTCGATGGTATCCGTCGTTTTAAAGAGACGAAAGGTATTATTATTAATACCTTCGCTGAGCTTGAATCTTTTGCTCTTCAGTCTCTCTCCGATGCTAAAATTGTTCCTCAAATTTACCCAATTCATCCGGTCGCCAATTCTGAAGAGGGGGATAAGAAACAGGAAACTGAAAGTATTATCAAGTGGTTGGATGATCAGCCGAAGTCATCTGTATTGTTTTTGTGCTTTGGTACATTGGGAAGTTTCGAACCTGAGCAAGTCAGAGAAATTGCAATTGCATTGGAGCGCAGCCGTCACAGGTTCTTGTGGTCGTTACGAAGGCCACCACCGAAAGGGAAAGTAGAGATGCCAAAAAATTATGATAATTCTGAGGAAGTACTGCCCGAAGGATTCTTGGACAGGACAAATGGGATTGGAAAAGTCGTAGGATGGGCGCCTCAAGTGACTGTATTATCACATCCTGCTGTAGGAGGATTCGTGTCGCATTGTGGGTGGAATTCTGTACTGGAGAGTATGTGTTGTGGGGTGCCTATTGCTGCTTGGCCATTGTATGCTGAACAGCAGATGAATGCGTTTTTGTTGGTTAAAGAATTGGGATTGGCAGTGGAGATTCGGATGGATTATGTTAAGGATTTTGAAGGGAAAATTCCAGTTGATATTGTCACTGCTGAGGAAATTGAAGGCGCAATTAAGAAGCTCATGGCGGATGGTGAGGAGAATGAAGTGAGGAAAAAGGTGAAGGAAATGCAAGAGAAGAGCAGAGTAGCCATGAAGGAAGGTGGATCATCTTATACATCTCTGCGACTTTTGATTGAGGATTTCATCAGCAACATTTCCTAAGGATTTTGGGACCGGTTTAAGTTATATATACTGATAATGGGTTGTAAGTTACCGAGAGGTTGTGAGTTCGAGTCTCCCCAAGAGCAAGGTGGGAAGTTCTTGGAGGGAAGGATATCAGGGGTCTATTTGGAAACAGTCTCTCTACCCTATGGTAGGGGTAAGGTCTGCGTACACACTATCCTCCCCAGACCCCACTAAATGGGATTATACTGGGTTGTTGTTGTTGTTGATACTGACAATGGGATGTAAGCACCATCAATGAATTTTAACTTGTAATAATGTAATAACAGGCTAATTAATCATATTATTGATTAATGCTTATCAAGAGTTTACCTATAATTACTAAATATATGGCATGACTATAAAAGATAATGTTTCATAGCTTATTTGTGGCTAAAATTGAGTAGGTAATACTTTATTGATGCTTATAGTGTTTATCCCTATTTAAATTAATTCAGTTTTAAAAAAAATGAAGAACACAATCATTGGGTTTGTTGGGTTTGAAAACAAAAAGTTGTTGAAAAAAACAAAGTGGATCTACTACTTTTGTAAGGTATGAATCTATATCTATATATANGCTCTTCTTTTTTTTATCAAATTATCATACTTAATTCGGTTAATGATCATATGCAATCATGCTAGGAACTTTTGTTTATCTTTTCTGATTATTTAAATACTACTTTGCTTGTGGCAAAAAAGAAAAAAAACTATTCCATATAAATATAAAAGTTTTTCACATTTAAAACCCTATAATTATTGTTCTTTAAAGTAATATAGCTAGATTTGAATAAATCGAATTTCTTTTAAAATAAATATAATATATATAGGGTACACGTCTATGGTTATCCAGATAACAAAAAAGAATTTAAAAATCGAATAAAAGTTTACTTACATATATAATGAAGTAAACCTACATGCTGGAGAAAGAAACATCACAAAAATCAGTCAATATTCAAAAAAAAATTATTTTTTTCCTTTCTGAAGAACGTTTGTTTGAAGAGTCAATTTGTATAAATAGACATTAGACAAATAATAAAACATTTGGTTATACAATTGCTACCATTAATTTTAATTTAGCACCTTCTAGGAATTGAAGGGTATAAGCTGAAACCTCTTCATTTAGCTGTAGTCAAGCCAGCATTGCAAGGGTTTAATATTTTTTTTGTTGAAAAATATTAGTTTTGAATCATTAGATTATGTGAAAAGTTATTTTTCTTGAATTCAAAAAGAGGGACAGTGGTTTCTAATTGATAGTTTCTATAATAATTTTCAAGTGTAACAAAAAGTATATTTAAAAAAAAACTGGTATGACATGAAATTATTTCAAAATGGTGTTATTTTTAAAAATATAATGTAATTTTAAAATAAAAAGATAAGATATTTTGAATTTTAATAGAATTTTTAAATTATTATAATAGAAGTCATATCATGGATAAAATCAAGAAATCAAAAACTTATGGAATATTTACATAAATATGCGGCCAGATTTATTGTTTACTTTTATAGCTAATATTCATAGATGATATACTGACATCACACGAGTATACATATATTATATATGGATTATATATAAATTACACATTCATCAATTTTTTTAATTTAAGTGCTAAGGCGATCACTTATTTAGGTTGATTAGATAAAGCCAAAAGAAAAATATGGAAGAATTTCAATTAAAGACTAAAAATATAAATAAAGTTCTTATGTAAACAATTTCTATTTAAACTCATCCTTTTATAGAGAAATAAATTAATTTTTTGTAAAAAAAAAAAAAAGAAAGACATAAAAAATAAGATAAAAGAAAATAAATATGGAAAAAATATATGAAAAATCTAAAAATCAGAAATAAGAGATAACGAATTTCTTCCTCTGTTTCATTTATGTTAAGTATAAAAAATTTGGAAGTTGATATCATCGATTTTAAATAATTTTTCAACTCAAATACATAGATTATAAGATAAGGATATCTTAGAATATTTTTT